TATTGAAAATACTCATCAAGAATGAAGGGAAAATAAAGACACTCTCAGTGAAGGAAAATGAAAAGAATTCATATCCAGTAGACCTACTTTAAAACACATGCTAATGTAAATTCTTCAGACAGAAGGGAAATCTGGAACTTTAGAAATGAAGGAAGAGCATCAGAAATGAGAAATATCTGGGTAACCATAATAAACTATTTTCATCTCAAATTCCTTAAAATATATATGACCATTGAAAGCAAAAATTATAACATTGTTTGGCAGGGCTTTCATTGTATGCTGAAAGACACGGATAGGGAGCTTTTGTGCTGAGCATTTTATGTGAATTATTTCATTTAATCTAGGCAAGAAAAGAACTCTACGGTGCAAGGAAGTTGATAAATGGAGTCATTGTACACATCCATCTGACAGTGGGTCTATCAGTGCCTGAGTTCATTGTCAGGACAGATACATTTAGCTGCTTGTAGAACTCTTATATGGGTGCCTTAGTCCTTTGAGTTAGAGTCATTATGATAGGAAGCCCCTGAAACCACCATTCCTTTATCGAAATAATAAATCAGAAACAATACCACATTCTGGGAAGAAAGGGAGAAAAGTCTTGAAGGGCATGAGGGTGCTGGTCCACATCATGTCCTAGTCTAATTCACCAGTATGGCCCTGAAAAACACTAGAAGGATCATGGCAGGTATTTTTAGATTAGTGTAAACTTAACCAAGTTTTAGTTCCAATCAAAGCCACTATGCCAGATGTTATGTCTTTAATGGAACTGAATTCTTTGAAATTCATGTCAATAAGTAGAATCAAAATCAGTTCACGTTCACCTGGCAAGGACAGTAGTACACATTCATGGTCAGCTCTGGATCTCTTGTTCTAGGTCTACCTACCACAATATAATCCAAAGGGACTTTGATCATCTGGATATGCTGCAGAACATCACACTGTTCTCAATATGTTCATTGGAACTGATGAGTAGTAAGTGGTGAGTCCTCTGTCGTGTATATAAGATGGTGGGAAAGTTCTACGAAGATTTAGAGTTTTGCCACATTAGTGAAGGTTTCAGGGATCCTGTAGCCTAGTGTATGTTGGAACATTCCTTCAAGGTAAGGAACAAATTGTTGCACATTGTACTTCCTACAACTAGAGGCACAGTGCCTGTAGGTCTCTTTTGATCTCTGGAGACAGAATATACCACACTTGGGAATACTCTCTGGCCTATTTTTTGCCTGACTTGGAAGCAGCCAGTTTTGAGTGCAGCCCAGAGCAAGAAAGAGGGAATTGCAGCAATTTCAGGCTACGGTATAAGCAGTCTGCAGCTTGGATCATATCAGTCAGTAGAACACATGTGCTAGAGAGAATATGTAAGGATGCTGTGTGGAGTCTCTGGCAAACTCTCGAAGAGGTATAGTTCTAAAGTAATGCCAAGCCATATTCAGCAGAGATCTATTTCCCATTCAGAAAGCAGCTCCTGGTGCTACTGAGCCCTGTAAGAGGCCGAAAACCTTATCATGCACTCAAGTGATTATGTGGTTGGAGATGTACATTGTGAGCTGGGTTTAGTCAGATCCGCCAAGTCATAGGCTGAGCAAGTACAGCGCAAACCGCTAGTAAGATGAAAATGGTATAATCAGTATTAGGTCAAGATAGCCTGTAGCACTGACTCCTTTCCCTCAGGTCCCTATGTCCTCATGGGGATGTATGTCCTTATAAACAGAAGATGGACAAGGGACACAATCTCAAGCTTGGTTCATGAATAGGTCAGCTCAGCCATTGATGCAAGCTAAGAATGGGCACAGTCACACTCCAGCTCTACTCAGGAGTGGTCCTGAAAGACAGCCCTAAGGAATCCCCAATGGAAGAGCGTCAGACAGTACACTGGGTCACCAATTTGCTGTGGAATGATGTGTAAGTCAGGATCCATTATAAGATAGAAATCACACAAGCTACTGTAAAAGGGAGAATTTAACGAAAGGACTGTTAACTAAGGATGGAGCTATCAACTAGGCAACTGAAATGGCAAAAAGAGAACACAAAAGGTGTCACAGAAGTGGCAATTGCAGGAAGTAGCTATCACCCTGCTATGGTTTGGATATTTGATCCCTCCAAGCTTCATGTTGAAAGGTGATCCCCAGTGTTAGAGGTGGGGCATCGTGGGAGGTGTTTGAGTCATGGAGTCGGACCCCTCATGAATAGGTTGGTGCTGACTGTCCTAGTGATTGTAAGTTCTTGCTCCGTTAGTTCCCCCCAGAGCTGATCGTTAAAAAGAGCTTGGCACCTCCTACCACTCTCTCTTGCTTCCGCACTCGCCATGTGGTCTCTGCGTGCAGGCTGCCCTTCACCTTCCACCAAGTGGGAGCAGCCCTCGCCATGAACAGATTCCAGTGCCATGCTTCATGCACAGCCTGCAGAACCACGAGCTAAATAAACCTCTTTTCTTTATAGATTAGCCAGCCTCAGGTATTCCTTTATAGGCACACAAATGGATGACAAAGAGAAGGGGTAAGAGTTATTAAAACTAAGAAGCATGGAGGAGGGGACCCAAAGAGCTGCAACACAGACCTGTGAGATGGGAGTTGCTTTCAGTGGGTATGAGTAACAGCTCAGAAGAGGGGCCCTTTGGGACTAGGGTCCAGTCTTCCAAGGAGGGGCTCCAGTCATCTGGTGCTGGTTTCTCTGTGGGGGTATAAAGAGGCTGGGTCTGAAAGTGTGGGAAAAACTGAAACCTGGAATCAGCTGCTGCTCCTGGAAGGAACTGTTACTGCTGGGCGAAGAAACAGTACTTTGGATGCTCATGGGACTAGGAAGCAGAAAGGAAAGACCAAGTGCCTTCCTCTTCTTCTAGTCTTGCAGGCTCCCTCTCGCCCAGTTCTGTTCAATAGAGACGTAATGCAAGCCACATATGCACGTCACATATGTAATTTTGACTCTTCTAGTAGCCACATTAAAAAAGGAAAAAGAAACAAGTGAAATTAATTTTAATAGTGTATTTTATTTAGACCAATATATCCAAATTATTAACATCTATTCTGTACAAAAAAGAAATGAAATAGTTTAGATTTTTTTTTGTACTAAGTCTTCAAAATCCATCATATATTTTAAACTTACAGAATACCTCAATTCCACCTGGCTACATTTCAATTACTCAATAAACCACGTGTGGCTAGTGGCTAGTGTATTGGATGGTAGAGCTCCAGCCCCCTTACTGTCAAAGTCTATACAGCTGGCAAAGCAGAAATGTGGTTTGCAGAGTCCCAACCCCAGCATCAAATAGCAGGGTGTGGATGAATGGGTTTGGAGCTGAGAGATAATAACCCATAATTGGATGTTGCAGGTTGGGCTTTCCTGGCAGATGACGCTGGGATGGACACCAAATACAGGAAGTTTATTAGGAAAGGCTCTCAGGATCAATCCCTATGTGGGAAGGAAGCCACTAGGTGTGTGTTATAGCTTTGTCCGAAGATTCTAAGAGTTATCTTAGTTGTGCTTCAGCACTATCT